CCAAAGCTCTGCTGTATAACAGCAATCAGTGCCCTTACCATGACACCAAAGCAGCACTCCTGTTAATGTAGGTATCTATCTGGTGTATTATAGTCTACCTACAGCAACAGACATCATACTTCTTCTATGTAATCACTTTCTGCTTCAGTCTTAATTTCACAGTGACATAAACGCATGCTTTCCTTCTCAAGCTGTGCATGGTCTCAGCCAGTAAACCAGGAGCAGTTTCAGGAAAATATTACATACTAATTTCAGTTTCTCATATAGCTACAAAACATTTTCTACACAGGGAAGCTTAGGAACTAAAGGTTTCGCTTTAATCTAAAAATGGTTTTGGTAAATTTGACAAAACGTACACTACAAAAGTATATTTGGGGATTAAATCTAGTCAGCAAAAGAAACATCATCTTAATTCGACAGAATGGACAAGGTTAGACTTCTTGGAGGTCCTGCTACTGAAACCAGAGCATTCAGGAGATTCTTAGTTTATTTTCATTTGTAATGAAGCAGTTCAAACATTCAGGTCACCCTCTATTTTGTCAAACTAAAAAAAAAAGGCAAAACAACCCTTTGTTTATTCACTATGATCAAAGTGACTTGGAAAGAAGGAAAAAAAGTCAATAATCTACTGTTTTCTGCTATTTGCAATCAAATTTAACCAATTATGTAAAAACCAAATGAAGAGCACAGATCATCTTTTTTAAGATATTGAGACACAGATGTCAAAATATCCATATAGATTCGTGTCTGAGAAAAAATGTGAGCCTCTTCCTCTGCAAATCTGAGTATTGGTATATGACCTCTTTGCACATCAGAAAGCATAAAGAACTGTATACACTAAAACCAAAAAACCCACATCATTATAACAGAGGGATACTTTCTCATTTCCTCAAACGGCAATGAAATGACTTGTCTCGCTTCTTGCATACCACAGCCTTAGATATTTAGGTATTAGACCTTAGAAACTTAGAAAATTACTATCTAGTTTTCTATATTCCTAATTGCCTGTCAAATATCAAAGTGTGCTATTACCATACAGGCCCCGGGGGCAGCGGGCTGCCCGCCCGGGAGGGCGCAGGGCAGCGGAGAGGGAGCGGGGCTGCACCGGGGCAGGCGGCACCCTCGGGGAGAGAAGCACAGGCAAGCGGCAGCAACCTGAGGCTTCTCTACCGCTCTCTTGTGACTAAAAGCTTCAAGGCCTAGCCCTCATTCTAAATAATAATTCTCTAATGCTGAGTAATGTGTCAGAACAAAAAACTATTGCAGAAAAATCTTCAGTAGGATAAAAAGATGTGTGCTCCTTAAAAAGGAGTTGATCTTCTAAAAAGCAGAAATATCTCAACTACCCACAAGCCCTTGATTTTTAATTTTTAAAAACCCTGAAATTTGAGTCTCACAAGAAAACCATAAAAAGGCTGAGGTTTAACTCATGCATTTTCATCATGTAGAGAGGGGATGTCAGTTTGTACTTACTGCATTCTAAGCGCTACACAACTTGCTTTGCTTCCCTTCATAATTACTCTAAATCAGGTTTTTTCCTCTCCCGTCCCGAGGTGTGGCTAAGGAGCAAGCCGTAGAAGGGCTTCCCCTGGCCCCACTGCAGCCACTACACACACCACAGCACAGAGAAGGCGGCTGTCAGGGTCTTGGCCTGCAAGGAAGGACTGAAGGACAAGGGCAGCGTGGGGATAGAACACAGCCCCTGCTGCCGTCCACGATTCCCACCTCTTTCAAAAGAAAGAACGCACCTATACCTGTCAACATTAAACAGTCCTCATAATCAGGCTCTGATCCTATTTGCCTGGCATGAAACAATTTTGGGGTTTTTTTAAGAATCTCAGCAACACACATTAAGTCAGTGCTGAACCTGGGGCTGTAGGTTTTCCAGCAGTATAGATGGCTGCTTCTGCAGAAGAAAGCTGTTTTAAAGACAGCAAACAGAAAAAAAAAAGGGATTATTTTTACTTTTACAAGATACTCCTTTAATATATGTATTTATTAGGATGCAAAAGCATTTTAGAGAATCACATCTCAATTTTGAGATGCTACACTAAAACATTGTTTAATCTGTAGATCTCTGCTCAATCTCACTTTTACCATGGAAGAAGAAAGGATTCTACGTTGCAGAAGTAGATACAGATGTATGGGATTGTTCTCGTGCCCATTTCTCATGCAACTTTGTAGAGGGATGGCAGTACTTCTGATTTATTTATTACCTTTCAAAAATGCAGATCACTTTCTAGATAAGCATAATTAGGTGTAAGAAAATAAACTAATTCTTAAGACTTTTGTACACATAGAAAGAAACACTTTCCTACACAAGGATATGTTATTATGAAATTACAACTGTAATGAATATATTTTTTTGATCTTTTGAAAGACCAAAGCACATACAGTTGAGGAAGCATGTATCTTCATCTGAAAAAGAACATCCTGTCAACTATCCAAATTTTTTGCACTGTTCAAAATATTTGTATAATACAAAAGCAAAGTATTAAAAAAATATAAACTATAACAAAACCAAACATTAAATTTTTATTATTTCAAACATTACAAAAGTTAGGGAGCAGTTTAAAAGAGTGAAAATGCCCACACAACATCTAGAAGTTGTCTGCAACTATATGCACAAAACCACTTGACACTGATCCAAGAGAAACAAATACTAATGACTTTGAAGAACCACAAAAAAAGACATTTCCACCAGCAATCTTGGAAAGAAACTTCTCAGTAATAGTCTAGAGCATGAGGTAGCAGAAAACTAAAAGAGATCTGTCAAGTAAAGGATATTTCGTATTATACATATACTATCATCTTTACAGAAAAATAGAACCTGAACACGTAAACTTGGTCATTGAGCTGCATCTCTAGTTTTGTTTTTTAGAATTATTTTTTTTGAAGACTACAGATCAGATAACTGAAACCGGAGTTTTACTATGTGTGCAGCTGGGCAGTATTTCACTTCAACAGATATATCTGCTAAATATGTTAGTTCATAAAAGGGAATTAAGTGAATCAACATCACATTTCTCCCAGATGTATACAAAATCAAGGAAGTAGACAAGTAATCAAGAGATCTTCATGAGAGATTAATTACATTAGGTATATAAATATAAATGACTATTTAAAAATGCAGAAGTACACTGTAAAGAATGTGAGGCTTTGAAGAAGGGAGAGTTTTTTCTAATTTTCAAGCAGCACAACAACACAGCATCTTAATTAGGAATTCTAATAAATGCAATTACTGTATGTAAACTACTACTTAAAGTCTTTGAAACCAAAATGAGCCCAGAAAACTGTGACTCAGTGCAGCATTGGTACAGTCCCCCATGCCGCCTCAAGTGTTTCCCCATGTACTTATGCAGATAACTGCTTGTCAAGATAAAAGTGAATAATGAAGTAGCTATCCAGGATCTGAATGACCATAACACTTTTGTGTTTGTTACACATTCACTAGGACTAAAACGACCAGTTTAACAAATCAGCTTAAAACGTGGAGTGTTATTTTACTCAAAGAAAACCTTTAAAATAATCAAATGTTATTTCTACTTTGGCTTCATTCGGATTAACCAGTGCTCAGCAGCACTCAAACCCCCTTAACTAGTTATTTACATTCAGCAGCACCAGAAGAAGATACAAACGCCTTTAAAACTCTTCACAATCATAAAATATTACACTTGAAGATACTTTCATGAGCCCCTGCCGGAAGATTGAAGATGTAGCAAGTTAAGGAAGCATTTTGATATAAGTTATTACCTGCACAAAACCACAAAACTTGTTTCAATACATATTGGTGTTTGCAAAAAAAGCAGCTAACGAGGTCTTCCCTATTTAAATAGGAGATGGAGAGAGCCATAGCTAGAGCAACCTCAGTACACTGATGAAGGAAAAACAAAACAAAACACACCAACAAGTCACCCAAAAGTTTCACCACTTCCCATCCCAGCAACATCTTTCATGAACTGTTCTCTCACCAGATGTGTTTAAATGCATAGTACTTCCAAGGAAAACAAATCACACTGACATTAAGATGCCAAGAAACTAGGATGACAAAAAAAAAAGGAAAAGCATTAAACATCTGGGCCTCAAAATTAATTTTGTCAAAATTGACTTACAAATCAGCATGGATTTTTATTTCTACTTCTGAAGACACTGAAGGTTCTAGATCCATCCATTACCTTGATCAAGTATATTTTTGACATATTTAGTTGGCACATTTTGTACTGTGTTGCGAATCAGTGTCACAAGCATAACCTAAATTATTTATCTTCCCATCCTTGTCTCAAGTCTCAACTAGTCAATCTTACCCTTCCCCTTTCACAAAACAGCGTGGAGAAAAAAGGATATCATTGCCTCAGACTGCAAGTGGCAGAGCAGCTTCTCTAAGGGAGGATAGCGGCACAGGGATGGAACGCAGCCCACCATGATTAGTTTGTGCTTGGCTCTTGTGATAGCAACATTAAGACGTCGCCAGTCCTTCAGGAGGGCGCCAAGCTGTTAAATAAACATAATATGCTTTTACGGTTCCTACTTGAAATTCAGGATTATGTGTAGATGGATGCATTTTGAAAATGAGGGTTTTAACTATTAAAATGACTGAAACAAAATTAACATGACCAACTTACATTGTCATCATTACTGTTCCTAACAAAAGATACAATTATGATACTTTTGTCTCTTCCTTGGTATTTGTCTACTGTGTTGACTTCCACTCTGTTCTCCTTCAATTTTCCCATCAAATCAGTGATTGTTTTTAGTTGATGTCTGTATGGTGATATAATGCCAATATCTGAAGACTTACAGCCCGCCTAAATGAAGAAGAAACAGAACAAAAAACCTGTCGCTGCAGTTAGCTCAGGATACTCATTACTGTCACAAGACCCTCAAGGTTTTTCTTAATTTTTGGTTT